TGAGTAGGTGCTTTAGTGCAAAAGTGTGAAGAAACTACACTTTCAAGCACAAAATGGAACAAACATATAGAGAGGGGGAGAAATATAGAGATAGAGATATATGTATAGCCTCAGCCAATTTTCTCAACCAAGGAAAGGGAGAAAGAGCCTCCCTCTTATAGAAAACCAAGCCTCAAGCTTGTTGAGCAAGTTAGAGGCTTGAAGCAATCCCTTCATACACGTGTATGGAGGATGCTCTCTGTGCTCACCGGCTGTCACAGCTGGCACCAAAATATCTGCAAAAAAATACAGAAAATGTGCCGACCAGTTGAGGTGGTCGGCTGACCACTCCCACTAGTCGACCGACCAGAAAATGTGGTCTGCAGGGTGAACAGCTGGTCGGCAAGGGGGGAAAGATGGCCTGCACAAAGAGGAGAAGGTGGTGGCATGGCTGCCGACCACTTTAGGTGGTCCACCGACCACCAAGACCAGCTGGCCGACTAGAAAACTGGCTGGCAGGGAAGAAAAGTGGTCTATGGGGAGAGAAACTGGTCTACACCCCTGTTCCACTCTCCATGCAAGGGATAAGAGGGTTTGGTTCAAAACCAAACCAAAAAGGAAGCAAGACAAGAGTCCGCAAGGCGAGACACTCAGCCGAAAGCCTCAAAAACTAGTCTACGAGCGCAAAAAGTAGCCCACGAGAGGGAAAGGTAGTCTACAACTACAAAAAGTGGTCTACATACCTCTGTTTCCCTCTAGGCAAAGGCAATAAGGCATGGTCCAAAAATCAGGACAAGAGGAGAACATTAAGAGGTCCCGAGACAAGACACTTGGCCGAAGGCTCCGGGAACCGAAAACTAGCCTACAAGAGGGAAAAGTAGTCTACGACTACGAAAAGCGGCCTACAGGCCTCTCTCTCCCTCCAGGCAAGGTCAACAAGGCATGGTCCACAAACCAAGCCAAAACACAAAGAGTTCAGAAGCCCAGAGGCAAGGCACTCAACCGAAAACTCCGAAAACTCAAAACGAGCACAAACATGCGCGATCATTGAGTGCTCAATCGATGACGTCTGAGTCTTAAAGTCGGTCAAAAATGGGGTGCCTATAAGGACATATTTCAATTAGCATCTTTATGCTTGCATGCGTGCATCATTCATTCGTATTACATGCACCGGGCTCGGCGCATCATACAAACTGCATTGTATTTCAATTCCTATTTGAATACATGTATCAAATTATAGCATTCATATGCCATCTTAGAATAGCCGAGCCTACTTAGTTGCATTTTGCATGTGTTGCATTAGGCATTGTTGACATAGCTAGGATCATGCATTGATTACTAACTAGCTTTTGTTTTGGCTTGGAGTACACTGTGAGTATTTATGCTTTAGCATACTTGCCATGAGACTAACTGCTTAAGTGATTAACTGCATGAATGCCTGTGGGTGGAGGCTTGATTGCCTGAATTGGAATAACTCGATGATTGTGAGTTTTAAGCCCACTTGAGGTGGCAAAATCATGTTGTTTTAAGCCCACTTGAGGGTGGTAAATCCGTGTTTTAGCCTACTTGCGAGTAGCACTTTCAAACCATTTCAAACAAACAAACATGAGATGTTTTGTTCCAACTTGAGCGATTGAGTCCATACTTGTATGCTGCACGCATCACATAGTAAATTAGATTAATAATCGGAATAAGAACACATGTGTTTTCAAAAACAACATATTATGTTAGTATAGGCCGATCCTTTGATCGGGCGAGTAAGGGTACTCATTTCAGGACCTTCCCCTCTCGTACCCAAGTTCCCGAGCCGAGGCAACTTTGGTGATGGCGGACACGTGGCCTTAGGCACGAGTCAGGGTTTCCTAAATTTTTCAGAAAGAAAATATTCAAGTAGCGACTCTGTAATCTGGCAAAGCAGCCTATGTTTGGCACTTCTTGATTAAAATCGATTTTTCAAAAACAATTTGCCAGATTTGGACTTTTTTGTGATTTATCAGTCTTACATTGCACTTTATGAGACTAGATACAGAGCCGTGACAGGAGTCCGAACTGTAGTAGCTAGAACTACAATTCGCGCCTTCGCGCGCTGAACGAGTTCGGGCGGTCTACAATAAGCATTTCAAGAAGCTTCTTAGAATATGATTTATTTATTTATTTCCTTTTTCCATACAGAAGAAGAAAACTTCCATTTAGACGACAATCAACCCAAGGTTACTTTACCTATTTTTACTTTTTATGATAAATTGGCTAAACTAAGGGGGGGAAAAATAGCATCGAAATATACTTTTACTGACCAATTAGAATTGCCTCCGAGAATCTATAATTGCCTCAAAAGATCCAATATATATACATTATTGGATCTTTTGAATAACACCCAAGAAGATCTTATGAAAATTGAACATTTTCGCATAGAAGATGTAAACCAGATATTGGGCATTCTAGAAAAGCATTTTGCAATAGATTTACTCAAAAATAAGTTTTAAATCCGTTGGATTTTTTTATTTCATCTTTTATGATTTGAAATTCTTTTCACTCTTATGATTTGCTTGAAAAAAGAATAAACACAAGATACAAAGGTTTACCTTTCTTTTTAGTCTATTTTTTTTTATTTCTAGTTTTGGGGTTGGAATTCCTATTTTCCTCATCAACCTACTAATAAGAGAATAATAAAAGTTTATTCTTTTTTCTCTATTTATATATCTATAAAAGAGCAGATATAAGATTTTTAGTCAAAATTAACGAATCGTTGAAACTATAAGTTTAAAACTTTTTTGTAATCTCATTTTCTGAATTATTATTTCGATGAATTACTATAGATAAGAAAAAAATATACATGCTCCTATATATTTCCCGCTTTCAACCCAATCTATAAAAGTTTTTAATGGGATATTGTAACAACCCTCATACTGTTTACTGATTAAGGACTGATTGATTACCGATAATCACTGATTACTGTTAAACGAAACGGATAATGACTGATAACTGACTGATAATTGAACTGAGTAAAGTACGGAACTGACTGACTGAAATTGGAAACCGAATTGATTGAGTATATGTTAGTTAAATTGCATTATATCTGTTTGACTGTATGATTATCTGTGAAAAAGTGCAAAAAGAAATTCTTTCTTTTCAGCAAACCCCTAGTCAAGAAAAGAATATAATACTCCCAACTCTTTCAAAGAGACAATTGGGAGACGGTATAAATTAGATCAAATGGGAAATAGAGGTATGGAATAGATAGTGATCCACCATTAAAGGCTATTGAAGTGACTAATTCCTAGAAATTAGGAGGCGTTGATAACAAAGAAATTGTTGGAGATATCATTTCTATCTAGTACCAACACGCTTGATGTTAAGAAAAGATCTCTTGCAGGAAGGTTGACTAGAAATTTCTTGTAAAAACACTAGCCCTACTCAATTAATAATGAGAATATTTTCATCTTTTTTTATTCCATGTATTATTCTCATTATGCACATAAGGGAGGAGCCGTATGAGATGAAAATCTCATGTATGGTTCTAGAACGGAAATTCTTTTATTCGAATAATGACTGTAACAGATGTCAGCTCAATCCGAAGGAAATTATACGGAAGCTTTACAGAATTATTATGAAGCTATGAGACTAGAAATTGATCCCTCTACTATTCTGCCCAAGCCTGGCTAAGGAAGAGTTATATGGCATAAAACAAAAAAAATACATTGATCGACCGGGCATACTATATGTAATGATTCTACCATTAACGATAAATAAAAAAGAAAAAGAAAAAGTAAGGCCATTCCATTAAGACAAAAGACCCACACCCAAGTTCCATAGCTTTTGGTCCACTATCTTGATCATGATTTTCCTACCCCCGGAGGGAAAGGTCCTTCCCTTTTTGGCCGGTTGTGGGCGAGGAGGGATTCGAACCCCCAACACCGTGGTTTGTAACCATGTGCTCCAATCCTCTGAGTTACAAGCCCCACTCCGTCTCCACTGGATCTGTTCCCGGGACTATCCTCAAAAAAAAGAACATTTCCTCTCTCCAGCCAGTTCAGGTTAAGAAGATGTGAAACCGCGTTTATCTCTAGTTTATCTCTATAAGAACGGTGCGTTCCAAGGTGTGAAGTGAGAGAGAAGGGATGTCAGGATTAGGGTTTTGAAGCAAGACAAGAAAAGAGAGTGTATGAGTTCGATATTTTCATTCCGTCTAAATAATTATAATGACAAGAAGTTAGTATAATTTTTTGAATATTAAGAAATAATATGTATTAAATCAAAGGAAAATGTTCTAGACCACTAATCCAAGAGCTCTGATAGCTCTAATATTGGTGTGAATCCCACATGATGAGATGTTTTAGCCTTGGGAAAATGTTTGGGATCCCCTTTGGGAATGACCCCCACACCCCCAAAATCATCCTAGCCCTCCATGTATGTGTGGGATCCACTCATGTATGTATGGGGTCCACATCATGAGTGGTCTAGATTTGTGGGGGTCTTGTGAAGGTGGGGGTCTCAATCACCACTCTTGGCGTTGTATCTTTTTTTTTTTTTTTAAAAAGTATTTTCCAGCTCATTTTAGAGATCTTTGCTTTAAATCAAATTGCGTGTTGGTACTAGATAGAAATGATACTAGATAGATCAACATGCGAGATCAATGATAGATCATTGCTTTCATTTCCAGTCAAGAAAAGATCTCTTGCAAGAAGGTTGACATTGCTTTCATTTCCAGTCAACCTTCTTGCAAGAGATCATTGATAGATCATTGCTTTAAATCAAAATGCCAGAAAATATAAATGTAATTTACTCTATTTTATTATTAATAATGATTGAGACCTCTTTTTCTAAAAACCCTCACAACCTCTTTAAATCTCAATCATTAATGTTATAAGCTCCACATATATATCAATAATTAGAATCCGTTTCAAAAAAAAGAAACTCAAGCATTTTTCTTTTATTATATTAGTGGGCGTGTGTCCTGATGATGGATGCGTTGTTAACTTTAATTTATATATATATATATATATATATATATATTTTGTGTGGCTGAAATGGTAAAAATATGACTATCGCCGTGTGTTTGTGGAGGAGGATAGGGGAATCTTGGACGAGGTCACAGACGATCCGGATTCAGTCTTGAGGATTAGGGAAGGAGCGAGAAGATGGCGGCGTGTGCTTTGGCTTTACAGTCCGTACTACCAGCATCAGCATCAGCATCATCATCATCATTACTCATCGTTACAGCCAAAATTGCAGCGAAGACCCCTTCCCCATCCCTACTGCAATACCCCTACACCACCACCACCACTCGCGCATTTACGGTGGTTTCTTTTTACAACGCTAGAAGAATTTCCCACAAAATTCCATTTCGATGCAGATCTGGTATTCTTCTTCTACTTCTTCTTAACTTATAGCTTTTGCTTATTTTATGAACCCTCCTTTGTTACATATATATTGTCTTTTTGTTGTTGAATTTCTACTATTGGGTTGGGTTGGGAGAATACGAATTATCCCCAACCTGCACAATGGAAGCTCTATACTTGCATCAGGTCTTCAAGTTAGGCGGGTTGGGTTGGGTTGGGTTGAGGAGGGACGCTCTGTCCAATCTCAACCCCAAGTGTAGAGGGGCTTGCCCGACCCCAACCCCGACCGCGACCGATAGCTTCAACTGGCTTGCTCAAGGTCGACCCCATGTCTATGCCTAAATTCAACACACCAAATTTTATTCAGGGTTAAACATTGAGCTGAACTAATGCATTACACTTCTTAATAAAATAAATAAATAAATGAAATATAATATCTAAAAAAATTACATGCTGTAGAATGAGTACATTGAAGTATGATTTAATCAAATGGTGGAAACATAGTTAGTATTATATATATTAATAATAGAATTCGGGTTGCTGGTATGAGAACTGCTGCCCAGTGCCGAATTGAATTCAGTAGAAGGGGCCCTCATTTGCGAATCTTCTGGCATGTCACTCGTAGAATACTTCAGATATCCCTTCATTTTACAATACGTAATCTCCTTTTTAATATTCAAATTTTCAAGTCGATACTTCACCATTCATGGCACGTGTTTATCGTTAATTAAACAATAACCATTTCCATAATAGACTAACTCACATTGACAATCCACAGGGAAGAGAAACCACGCCTGCAGACTGTCATTATCATCTAACCTCCGATCATAAATATTTACTTTGACCAACCCACTGGCATTGGGTGCGCAAAGGGAGAATATTTTATCAATATTTTATCAACCTTAATACTCTTTTGTTTGTATCTCAACCTCAACTGAGAAAATAAATTAGGCAAAGCAAGTTCAATACAATTGATATCACTTGCTGAAACACCTTCAACAACACCAGTTTTTATTATCATCCACCTCCATTAACCTGAACATTACAAATAAAAATACATAAAATTGCAATTCTAAACAATTTTAAAGTATATTTTGCTCCTGAAAGTAATTTTGCATTCTTTTCCACTAACAGTAGCAACCACTAAATATATGACACCCTTTTGAATACTTCTTACATTTTCCAACAACATATCTTCGTAGTCTGTCCAAACATTAACAGGGAAGAACCGGCCCACAACTTCTATCTCGTAACGAATGTACTCTTTGTCCTTGCCACCAACGAGCTTGAATCTCATTTTATTTAGCATCCGAAACCAGTCGGACTGGTCAGAATCAACAATCCAGGTCTCAGGATTACCCTTGCCAACTTCAATATATATCTTGTCAAGTGTGGGGCCGGGATCTGACGGACTATTATCACTTATGACAAAAAATAATATGTGGTGGACCACAGTTTCGTCTTTAGCATCTTGTCCCAATTGAACATTCCCAATTAATTTTATACCTTTAACCACGATCTTGTCTGATTGACGGTCACATCTCTTGTTACCCAACTTAATACCATTTAGCAATCTCGCGCCACCTTTATTATCAAATTTAACATCTCTTAATTGTTCATTATACAACTGTAACTTCCTTACTTCCTTCTTAGTCTTCTTAATATATCGGGGAATATTCTGAACATACCGTCTGCGAATGTATGCCGCCTTAAAAGGTGCACGACCACGGTAACTATGCTTATATCAACTTGTCGCCGGTGTCCTTGATCGGCGGTACACAAGGGGAGTCTGATACTGGCTGCTCATTACTTCTTCCATTTTTTATAAAACACTCCAAATCTTTTATCCTACAAATTCTGCAAATTCTATTACCTCTGCTAACCCTTCTATTCCAACACCTTAGTTTTGATATTTTTTCCTCGTACCCACGAACAAATTTCGCCGGAGCTGACCGCTGCCTCTCTTCCCACAGTCCTATTTGTTGACAATTTCAATATACTATCCAAGCCTTAAAATTTTGTAAGGTAGATTAGGTAGCTCAGGTTGGGCCTGCCCTAGTTGCACCCCTATTGCTAGTTGAGCATTTTCAATGGACATGGTAACGTTATCTTTCATATATTTGCACTTAAAAGGGGTAATATGTTTTTCTTTGTACTTGGTCAAAGTCTCCATGTTTTATTTGGGGTGGCTCTAATAGCCCCTACCTTTTTTCTAAGGATATTGATTTTTTTTAATGACAATTATAACCTCAATTAAAATTGCTATATGGACACAAATTGAAATGGAACACCTGTGATGTCCCGGGGTTTGGGCTTGAATTGTATGCATTTCTTTCAGTGTTTTGTTTACTGTATTGGGTCGTTAAGACTCCTTTTCTACTCCTATTTAACCTCTCTTAACTTTTCCGAGTTACAAATTTTGAGTTTTGGAACTTGTTTCAAAATACTAAATCAAACTCTAGTTTTTAGGCAAAACCGCTCGTGCAAAATTGGAAGCTGCCCGAGCAGATCATTGCAGAGTCTCACTGGTTTTCTGGGCAGAAAACTGCTCGAGCAGATTTTGGCGACTTTTTCTAGGCAGCTCTCTGGAGTAATCCGCCCATGAGACAGAAAATTATGCTCGAGCGGATTGGAAATTCTGTTCGTGCATAATTGAAACCGTTCAGGCAAATTTCAGTGCGTCTGTCTGGAAACTCGTGCTCTTTTCCTCAAAACTGATGCCAAAAGTTATTTTACACAGATTTTTCTCTCCTCTCTCTATATATTCATCTTTTCTCTTTCTCCTCTCTAAAAACACACCTAAATCCAACTTTTCTCTAAGATTTAGCTCAAATCTTCAAGAGTTTGAGGGGGCTTTTTACACCAAATCGAAGAGGGCAACTAGGTCTACGTTTATACCGATTGGATCATGTTTTCGTCAACTTTGATTTCTAGGGTTTTCTTCTTCTTCAACTCCCAAGCTTGAGGTGTAATCTTTGATTTATATATATATATATATTTGCAAGATTATGCTTGTTTGAAGCTTTTATTACATGTTTGAGTTATGATTTTGGGTTGTTGAACTCTAGATAATGTTAGAAGATGGTTTTATCTACTTTTCTCAAAAATTTTGAGAATATAAGTTATGTTCCAAGGCGTGGGCGTTGTTTTTTGAAAAATCTTTTTAAAAAATGGAACAAAAATCTTGTTTTGGTGGAAACCCTAGAATTTGGGGATTTTGGAGAAAAGTTGAGATATGGTGAAATTGTGCTTGGTAAATTGTTATATAAAGAAATGATGGAGAAATTCTTATGGTTGTATCAAATGAGGGAACTTCATGAAAAAAATGAGAATGGTTAATTTTAAAACTTATCATTGGTTTGTCTTGGAAAACCGAGTTTAGAAAACGATATTTAACATATGGAGAGTACATGGATGTTGATATTGTTATATTGTCTCTTAGAAAAATATACTATGATGTTATATTGATAAGAGATACGAAATTTGATCACAATGGAGGAATGTGTGAATGAATTGAGAAATTGAGAAATTTCAAGACATTGATAAAGAAATATATTGCATTGACCACCCAATCTTGGAAGACCACCTTATTCATAAACCAAATATCAAAATTACCAAATCTCGGGCTACCACCTTATTCAATTTCCACCTCATACTTCAATTAATTAAAACTCATAATCCTTATGAGTTGAGCCTCATGCACGCGCAACCAGTGTTGCCAAGCACCCACTTCTTAGAAAAAAACACTAACTAATAGTTGATTAACACATGCTTCTGGATTCTCTCTATTTATAGCAACTAAAGCACCTTAAATGCTCTGATACAAAGAATTAGTTTACACTTTGTACCAAATCTCACTTTGGTCCCTACATATGAAATTGTGACAATCAACCTCCTACATTTTGGTCAAGTGTCAATATTTCCCTTATGTTACTCCATTGTTTAAATCTTTTACGAAGCCAATCATGTGACCAACATGTGACAACGAAATGAGGGCAAGGGGGGAAAATCATCCTCATTTTTTGCCAAATACACACTTCATCCCATGTGATCAGCATGTGAGAGTTATATAATACAATATGTATATATGTGTGTGTGTGTGTGTGTGTGTTCATATTCTAAAAATAGGGACGGAGAGAGAAAAAAAAAACCGAGTTTTTGAAATCAAGAAAGACAACAGAAAAATCGAAGAGAAAGTAAGAGGAATGGACTGAAGACTATGCTACTATGGAAAACAGAGCTTTGTGACTCCAATTTTGCAAAACTCTAGTTCATCTCCTTGATTGTTCACAATTTGCATTTTGTTTCAGCCGAATGCAACCGTAATTTGATGTAAATTTTGGGAAGAAGTGTGTATAGGCAGGAAATAGGAGTGATTTCCCTCCCTCGCCCTCATTTTGTGGTTACATGTTTGTCACATGACTGACTTTTGTTAAAGACTTAAACGGTGGAGTAATAGAAAGGGGACATTGACACTTGACTAGAAGTGCAAAGGGTTGACTGCCACAATTTCATGTGTAGGGACCAAAGTGAAATTTAGTGCAAAGTGTAATTTACTGAAAAAACTGACTAATAGTTGATTAACACATACTTTTGGATTCTCCCAATTTATAGCAACTAAAGCACCTTAAATGCTCTGATACAAAGAATTAGTTTATTGTTTTGAAAAAAAATAAATTGAAGAGAGTTATCTTTTGGGAAGAGAAGTATTGATATGGCATATTGCTATATCCAATTGCTGATTTAGAATCTTCCATTGACAAGCTTCATAACCATCTATCTGTCTCTATATATAACCATGTGTTTGTTTTATAAGCAAAATGTTTTTAGGAAAGAAAGCGCTACAAAAGGGGCTGCACCTTGTACACATAAAACAAAAGGTTCCTTCCTATATCTACAAGGATATATAACTCCACAAAAAACCAAGAAAATCACATTAGAGAAAAAGAACTCTATCATGTGCCAAATGTAAGTCTATTTTTGTCACGCCCCAACCCGCCCCTATAAGTTTGGGCATGACTAGCCTGATGACGGACTCAAAATTCAATAATTATATAATATGGGGCCTGAACGGAAGCAATTATCAATTTAAAAATAACATCCATTGAGCTAACGCTTACATGCTAGGATCACAAAATATTCGATCAAATAGCTCAACACATAATGAACATACCCATAAGAGACGATTGTACACATACATGTATACAATCCCATCCCCGTAGCTGGGGGGTATAACTAAAGCATTGGTAACTAAAGCGTTGGTAGTGAAAGTTATACATGTCTTACTACATTGACAAAAGCCAGTGACCAATGCTATGAGCAAAGAAAGGAACTACACAAAAATAAACAAGCTTCATCTAGTTGCTTGGACACAGCGGGGATTGATAAAAGAAAAGCTGCCAAGGCTGGACTAGGACTGACTTCCAAGCTGATTACCTACAGAGGCAGACATAACACGGAGTGAGCAAGGCTCAGTGAATAATAGTAATATAAGGAGGTTAGGTGAATGAGCATAGCCTTGGAGAATATAAATATACATATAACAAACTAACCATAAATAAGTCTTATCCATACTATATTTCAAAACGGTCTCAGGCCCACACGTAATACAGAACGGCCTCAGGCCCAACATAACGACAGTTGTCCAGAGCAATATAGGGAAGATGGAATATCGGCATGTCTCCATCTCCTTTGGCGTAGAGCCATTAGTCATGTACAATTCATATCATTATAGGGTAGATGGAACATCGACATGTCTCCATCTCCCTCGGCCTTAGGGCCATGAGTCGTAAACAATTCACGTCATAATGTACTCCATTGCAGTAAACGTAATTTATATCAATTACATACATGGATCCTAGTGGGACTCATCTCACTACACCATTCACAATCAGAGACATCTAAACCATAGTACAGTGACTCCAGCGTGCCAATTATAACCAAGGTATAATAATTTGTAGATAGAAATGCAAGAGCAACTATATACATCATTACACTATTAGTACTCACAGCGATGGGCTTCCGGTAGTAATGGGACGATGTCCTCACCTTCCTCTATTTTAGATCTTTCCACACTCAGTAGCTTATAACTGAACGACCTCGGGCCCATCATTAGCAAAGCAAAATGACCTCAAGTTCATAAAGATATCATTGTTCAATATCGCTCATAAGTTTTCCAATTATTCATCATGAGGCGACATAGTTAGCTTACAAATAACAGAACACCAATAATAGTTATTAACGATAAACGAAATATGTCGCTACAGTACTATTACTCACAGTGATGTAGCGGAGCGTTAGTTCTCTCTTGTATGTGACCTATTCGTTCCATTCACATTCAATTACAAGCATTTTAAAAGCGTTAAACACACATTTTAGCAATCTCAGAGGGTCAAACAGCAGAAAAGGAAGACACAGATTTTCTCCCCTTGGGCCGCACTTGTGACAATCCCCTCCGCACGTGCGGGAGGTGGGCCGTACGTGCTTTTATTTCAGTAGTTTAACTTCGAAATTCCCTGTTTTCCGCACGTGCGGCTGTGAGCCCCACACGTGCGGTGGTGCTTCCCGCACGTGCGGCCATGACCCCCGCACGTGCGGTCGTTATCCCTGATTTGTGCAATCCGATCCAAAACACACACCCATCTAGGTTACATCTCAAGGCACAAAATAAGGGAATTAAGCTCAACATGATGATATAACACTACAATAACATGAATCAGAAGCTCAATTAGGTCTTTAATCCCTTCAATTTCATAAACAAAACTCAATATTCTTGTATTTGATTATATTTGATATATTTGGTCTTCCATATATATACAGTGAGGTGGTAGTGGTGTAGTGGGTTAGGTTTAGTGGAGTAGGTGAGGTGGTAGTGGTGGTAGGTGATGGTAAATTCTAACATAGCTCAACAATTCCAAATCAACTAAACATAAGAAACATTATAAACAATTAACACACACTTGTTCTATATTATAAACCCTAACTTACATAATAAAGAGAGATTCTTACTCAAGTCTAAGAGAGGAGTTAGTTGAGGTGAGACATTTTTTACCTTAAACTCAATTCTCTACAAGTCTTCTCAATTTCCAAATCCTCCTTCTTGTTGAGATTCTCTCCCCCTTGTTCTTCCTCTCTCACTCTCTCTTCTTCCAGGAGATATTTGTTTCATAAAATGACCAATGGCTAAGGAAGGAACTTAAGAGGGTTTATTAAAAGTTGACTATAATTTAATCAGTTTAATCATTACGAATCAGATTTTTACAAAAATTCATATTATAAACTAAAAATCATACTGATCACAATTATAAAGTCAATTTCGGATTATCAAGCTTCTAAGGCTTTCAATTACTGATCCAAACATTTCAATTGTAACAGATTTTGCTCATAATCAACAGATATAAGTCCATAACCATATAATTCACACAATTAAGCTTAATTTCACATGGAATTTCACATTAAGCACATAATATGAGCGGAAAACATATAAGGAGATTGGGTTATTACGGTTTTCCTTTTTTACCTTTTGGGTTTTCTTTTGGAGATTCTCTTGTCCTCCTGGTTCTCTTTTTACTTTCTATATTTTCTTTATTAAGAATATTTCTCTTCTGTTGGCTATCAAGAAAAGAGGAAAAAATAAAAAAATAAAACTTCGCCAAAAACCAACAGTCATTTTTAGACAAAAACATGGAACTCTCAACAGGAACTTGTCTCTCTTTATGTTGTTTGTCATCAATTAATCTCTTTAGTTGTCGTCCAGGCTAGGAAGGCCACTCTCTTGGCTCCGTTCCAGATCCAAGCATGTGTACTTTTCTATTACTTCTATATGTAAATATAGCTATGTTAATGCAAATAATTTCCCAATTCAACGTCTCCAATGTCACTTACAAGACAGAACAGTGTGATGCAACCTCTCAATCCATCAACAACTAGATGGAACTAGAGCACTTCTGAGCATCACAAAGTTGACATGGCAATTACCACCACTATCTTCAAAACTAATTAGAGCCTAAATCAATGACAAGTTACCTTCCACTAGAAAATTTCCAGTAAAAGACCGTTGTTGATGTGAGGGACCCTTAGTGGCCATGAAATAGATATATGTACAAATATGTAGACACTAGAAATTGTGAATTGTTGTTTTAACCCTTCCTTTTTCACTGTGCTTGCTTTATTTAATTTGGCTTGTACATATTACTAATAATGTTCTCATTTTGCACTTTAGAATCTTGTTTTTGTCGTATGAATTAATAGATATAACAGAGAGTAGGAAATGTTTTATTGGACTACGGTGAAAAAAGTTTTGAGGTTGTAGTGTTAAAGTCCGACTATCAAATTGATATGGCATTGATAGCTAATACTAATAGAGACAGACATACAGAATGACAATTGAAGCTAAAGTAAATTTTCGAACTCTGGGAGATAAAAGAAGAGGGATAGTGGATGTGTAAGAATTTCTAGATGAATATTTTACAGTCAACTGTACAAAGCATACACGCTTGGGGGGTGTACCCTTTTAAACAAGGGAGGATTAACATGTAGGACATTCATGGTGTTGTACTTTTTGACAGTGAACTGAATTAAGCAAAAATGTGAACAGACACACAATATCGTCGACTGAATTGGCAAATTTAAGATTTCACATGGATCATGTTTACAAGATCGTCGAATGGAATTTAGGCTTAACTTATGTGAACCTTATTTTATGTATTTATAGGATAGTGGGTTGATGGTACACTGTTATTAAACAAATTCAATAGTAGACAATGTTACACTAAACTTCCTATTCTGTGCTATATCAAAACATTGAGAATTATGAAGAGGATTCTTTACAGAATAGAGTTTCATAGAGAATAATAGAAGGGCCACAGAACATCAAAGTATTAGCCAGTTCCGAGGAGACGAGGGAAACGTGCATCTAAGGACCTTTTCATTCATACTTCATCATATTCAAGCAAGGCTTCCCGATGTACCAGAATTTATTGTGTGCTATGTGCCTGCTTGCGTTCCGTGTACTGGAGCAATTTAATTTCTTGATGTTTCGAGGAAGATTTATGTGATCAAGATATATCAATTAAATTCTAGAAAAATGTTTTAAAAAAGCTGCAAGAGCAATCACTTAAGCAGATGGTGAGGTTATTGGAGATGATGATGCTGAGATGATCGAGTGGCAGGCCCAAAAAATAAGCATCAGAGAAAAATGGAATAGTAGGAAGTTGATAGCAATTATGTATAACAAAATACAGGAGACCATGATGGTTGTCTAATTATGTAAATAATGTTCACAATTATGCAAGTGTTCCTCAAGTTGCTCATTGATTCATTTTATTTATTGTAGCTGCTCTTCCTTTCTGGAAGAAATATTAAACAAGATTACTAATTTTCTGTGTGTGTATATGTGGATGGTTGTGAATGTGCAGCATTGACCCCTGAGTTGCAGACCACCTTGGATAAAGTTGTTACATCACAAAAGGTGGTTCTTTTCATGAAGGGAACCAAGGAGTTCCCACAATGTGGATTCTCACACACTGTTGTCCAGATATTGAAATCACTGAATGTACCTTTTGAAACGATAAACATACTAGAAAACGACATGCTGCGTCAGGGATTGAAGGAGTATTCCAACTGGCCAACTTTTCCTCAACTTTACATTGATGGGGAGTTCTTTGGTGGCTGTGACATCACTGTGGGTAAGTTCATTCTGCTGCAATTTTATTATCAGTTGAAAACTGCTTATATGGCAAGATTATCACCAAAAGTTTCTGTTTTGATCCGTCAGGTTCCTTTTAGACTTGACAGAGTTTGCTTCATTGTTCAAGTGTATTACCTGATTTTCTGTTACTTGGTGTGACAGATTGGTAGGGAATATCTTTGTAAATAGCAAAAAATTCAAGTTGCAGAATAATCTGAACATAGCCAGGAATTTGATACAGGGGCATTCATATTAAAAAAAAAAATTTATGCCAAACAAGTTAAACAATTATAACTAGGAAAATCAAATCAAAATTTCAATACGGCTTAATCTTTATATGACAATAATTTTATATTGTTCTTGGTATAGTTATGAGTCGAAAGTGAAGCAATGACACATTCCCTAGTACATAGAATTTTCGGCAGTTGCATATAGGTATGAGTGATAGATTTAGGAAAAGTGCATACATGGAATATGACATCTTGTTTCCAAAAAGGCATGCTATGTGGGTGGTCTACTCACACTTGAACATGGCTACGGTGGATTTGCATAAACGAAAGCTCACTTTCAAAGGGATATTTGTTAGGATGAATTTTGGAATAAGGACTTGCAGCCACATAGTTTTGTTCACCATTGCAAGTCCATTATGCTTCCACAAGTCATTGTTTTTTGAGTCATTTTGTTGATGTCGTCTTGAGTCATTTTATTGACGTCTCAACTTGTTGACAAGTTGTTTTCGTTAGAGGGAGAGTCTGATGTAGTTAGAATTAGTGGTGTAGTCATGTTTTTAGCACCATAAGTTTTAGTTGGGTCTGTGACCTATAAATAGGTAGTTAGGTCCTTTAGTAATCAATTTATGACATTTTGATATTGTAATATTGGAACTTAGCGCACTTTGTATCCCAATTTGGGACTTTTTCTCTCTAATGAAATCCATTCTCTAATTTTGGCTCCATTAATTTCTTAGGAAATGTGTCCGACACTTTAAAATAAAAATTTCATAATTTTGGATATTTAGACAAGAAGACTTTGACAACACTTCTCAAACCCTCCTCGACATAACCTGTGTGTTGGATCTCTTAATAATAACAATGTTGGACATTATTGGGAACACAACTTACACACCCCAAATATACCTTGAAACATTTCAAAAACAAATACATTATATGTACAGTCAACATATAGTATCATATGCAATGAACAACTTCTAACATATGAAAGAAGAAGAAGATTGAAGAAATCATAGTAAAGTAAGCAATAGGAGTATGCATTATATATATATGATGATATTTGTAGAGCTGTATTTTTTTACAATTTGCAATTTTAAATAGAAATAAATAAGCAATTGATTAGTTACATATTTTTCATTATAACATGCATAAAATAAATGTAAATATATAATGTATTAATATGTTGCTGTGTTGTGCCCTATTTTTTGAAGATTTGTCATGACAGTGTGTTTGTCTCTGATATCTGTGTCTATGCTACATAGCTCCAAGCCCACCATTGGATTGCATGAGTCAAACGTTTGTCCCACATGCCAAATTTTAGCTTGATTAGAGGTTAGAATTACCCCATCTGTAGAGTGTTCTAAGTTGTAGTATTTATTTGATTTTGTGAATTACATGGCTAAAAATGTCAAGTTTATATGATTTGCATGACATTTGTATCTAGCTGAACAGTGCTTGGATATAAAAACATTTATTTTTTTGTGGGTGTGAGTTGATTTGTCAACCATCATATTATGTCTTAAGAAATTATTGAATTATTGTAGTTGAGGTAATAAAGTACATCATATTACTGAAATTAATTGGATTCACATTTTACACATGGAGTCTTTCTATTACAATCAGATTTTATGGCTTTTTTTAAAAAAAAATTTCTTCTTGGTTGTTCCTTCAGTAATGAATACAGGGGCTTTCTCATTCAATGAGATTAATCAAGGGGGACTACATGCAGGTGGCAGAAAGGGAAAAAAATTACCAATATATGGAGGGGTGCAAGTGATTTGCACCCCACCATAGACACACTTGCGCCCCCATGTGTTTATAATCTTTTTCCCCTTCTCCCACCTACATATAGTTCCCCCATTAATCAATTAACCCTCTCAGTATTCTAATTTCTAGTTCAGTTGGTTTCAATTTCATCTCTACTGGAGGTGTAATTTTGAAGTTCTGGTTTGTCCATGTTCATGTGGGAAGCTTTTTAATTTTATTGGTACACTAAAAGAACCTTGTTGAAATGTTTGTCCCTTGGGCCTCTCACTAAAGCATCATTCCAACCAGTAGAGCTAGAACTCTACGTGTAATTTATGATAGATTTGATTTTGTAAACCTCCAGCAGCAAATTGATAAATTTGTGTGTTTTTGCTTTAATAGTCGTTTGAGCAGAGTAATTGTAGAGGATTATGAATAAGTAGCTTGCATCCTTTATCATCTTTATGTTGCAGTTTAGGTGTAACGGGAAAGTTTGTAATAATCTTTGCAAACATACCAAACTGATTTATGATTTTCTTTTATGGCACAAGTCTTAAAAGTGAAATTGATTCTGTCACAGAGGCATATAAAAGTGGGGAATTGCAGGAACTGTTGGAGAAGATACTGTGCTCCTGATGAATCAGAATTTCTGAATTCCTGTTTGGTAAAGGTTTCATTTGTACCACTAGTCGCTCAGTGACAAGGCTGTTTTTTAATGACAAATGTTAGGGACACTACCACTCTCACTAACAATCAACACTCACAAGTTTGTGTGGGTCTCATACCAAGCTTGTGAGTATATTAGTAAGATTGTTAATAAGAGTGTTAGTGTTCCAAACATTGTTGTGTTGTAAATAATATATGGATTCTAATACTGTACACTTTTTCTTTTTTAAATTATGGTAAGAGAAGAAGTCTTGATTTGAGGATGACACAGAACACAGATGATTGGCGAAAGGGTATGGTTTGGGAAAGAAAAATGCTGTTGGTTACTGAAAGCTTAAATGAGCTGCTTATGACTTCTGTTATTTTGAAATTTTTGCATCAGACTGTTTGCTTATATGTACAATAAAAGATAGCGTAAATAAGTTGAGTATCCTGAAACTTGGGGAGGAGTCTTTTTTGTTTACAAATTATTAGCTTTCAACTTAGAACGAGCCAACAAGCTCAATAACGTGTACTCTTTAAGTTCAGTTGGGGCCTATGTTGTCAGGATTTACATTTAAAGGGGCTTTGGATGGGGGGTATGATATTGACTTTCCTTGCATTTTGCTTTGTTATAGCTGTGAATTCTTAGCCAACAAATTCGGCGGCAAATTATTTACTATTCTAGAAATCACTCTTGTCAGTAAGAAATCAGACTCTTAGCAGTAAAAGTCTCATTCGGGAGGGTTCGGAGAAAAAATAGTGTGGATGAATCATTGCTGCACGGTAGGGGTGGGAGAGATGACAAGGAGAGGGAGAGTTTTTGATTGGTTTACAGAAAGGACTTAGGGTTAAAAGTAGGAAAAGGTATTTGCTATAGCAGTTATTCGCTATAGCAGGTATTCCACGTCATTTATCCAACGTGGGATCCCATTCCACAAAATACAGCACGTAAGTAAACACACTATGGCCTCGCTTTGACTGGCTGCACTGACTTATTTATTCCTCCCTTTCTTGCCTCCCTCTCTCTGCAACTACTAACATTTCTATCAGTACACCCAACAACCCCAAGACCTACAACCTCCACCATGTGTCTTTAGGGCACTAGGGCGGGAGAAGATTATAGTTAGTGTTGTGTTAGAAATTTTTCTCTAATATTGAGAGAGAGAGAGAGATTACTCTTGGTTTTTATTTTTACGAGTTATCCTTTCTTTTTTTCTTTTTTTTCCTCTTTCAATGATAATGGTAATCCAATGATTTAGGTATAAAGTAAGGAAAAAAAATAATTTTGATTTAAACTATGGTAAATTAAAAACTAATAATTCAAAAGCAAAAGTCAAGCATCCTTACTCAACTTTTATAAATAAACTTTTTTAGTTTATTTAAATTGTTTCTATGTAATAAATTATAAGTAAAAGTTATGTCAAATAATTTGGCATAGATTATAAGTAAAAGTTATGTCAAATAATTTGGCATAGACTTCTAGAATAATAAAAAAAATAAGTAATGGTGTATTTCAAAATAAAAGTACACTAATTTAATCTTATTTGGGTCATTGAATATCATTTGCTAACGTGTTACAGAGAGGGAATGACAAGAGGATCCAAGTATTCTAACACGACACCAAATATATATATATATATATAGAACGAATTCTAACAGCATAACTATGCATGGATATATATATATATATATATATACTGGTGTTTGCAAATGTGAACCTGCGTGCATTATTATCTCGAGTTTAAAAGGGAGCTGGAAAATACACCAAGTATTTATTGCGTTGGCCGACTGGATTTTTTACATGTGCAGAACTAAACGATCATAGTTGATGGGTAAAAACTACTTTTGTCTGCACTCAAAATTTGGGAAGTTTCAATGATCAGCAAGTTCAATAAGCTTTTCAACCACATTCGGATCTGCAAGCGTGCTTGTGTCCCCAAGCTCATCCAACTGCCTAGCAGCTATTTTCCTCAGAATTCTCCTCATTATCTTTCCACTTCTTGTCTTTGGAAGACCAGGTGCCCAATGGATTCTGTCCGGAGCTGCAAATGCTCCAATCTGAATTGCAAACAACAAACAAACAAAAAGCACATAATCAGAGTATATAAACCTTTTATATGATCAAGTTTTCCTTGTTTAATTGAGAAGAGAGGATTGCAAACACTGTTCATTTTGCAAAAAAATTGCTTGCTTTGTGAGATTTAAAAGTCGTCTCAACGAAGATGTAGCCATAACGGAGCATTGTGAATCTAAAGATTATGGTCCAAAAGTTTTAGAACAAGAACATAAGTTATATGAACAAGAAATAACATCATAAAACACCACGGAGTCCTAGAAGATCCTTAGACTTTCTTCTTGTGCAACGAGACTTTGTAATCTGAAGAATCAGATTGTCCATGAAAACGGATTCTAAGGCAAGATATACTAGAAGACTAAACACGAACAGGATAAAGACCCTCCGGCAATGTCTCTCTGTAAATGAATGGCATCAAGAAGGCATACAAACCATGTGTTTGAAAAGTTTCTTGGTATAGTAGAAGCCCCGCTGGAATCAACACATACCTGGTTTCTCACAGTGAGCTTAAGACTTTTTCGGAGTTCCTCGCTATAATCAACCCCCTCGATCAGAGTAACAAATGCATAAATGCCCTGTCCTTTAACCTAACAAAAGGAAAAAAATTATATATATATATACAAATTTGCCAGAGAGACTATAGGTCACAAAAGTACCTCATGCTCAACACCAACAACAGCGGCTTCAGCACAATGGGGATGTGAAACTAGAGCAGATTCCACTTCTGCTGTGCCAATACGATGTCCACTGCACATATTAATGGGAAAAAAAACTTAAACTTCTTCCAACAAAAGGCATAAATTACTTGATGCTGAAAAATGTTTGGGAATTTGCTAGTTTATTATTCAAACGGGTGTATACTTTACAAGATTTCCAAATCTAAAAGGGGTGATAAAAGACAGCCTATGAAAATCAGCTAGTACCTGAAGATGAACAAAAATAAAAAGAGAAAAGTTAGGGATCATGAAAAAAATTTCATGAAAATGATCATGAAAGATTTATGATTCTTGGATTACCTGTGGTGCTTTATTCTAAGTGTAATCCAAAGGGGTCACAAAGCTTTCATGATTATTTTCATGAAAGGTTTTTCATGATACCTAGCATTACTGAAATAAAAATCAGCTTGTACCTGACATTGATGACATCATCAACTCTTCCGGTAAGCCAGTGGTACCCATCCTTATCCCTGAAATGAAATTGTAACTAGCCTATAAGAAAACAAATCGGGCACGTGCTACGGGGGGCAGAGAGTTAAAGAACAAACAATATTTAACAGCAATGATTAACTTGTTGGATCATTTAAGAGAACAAAAGAATACAGAAAAAAATTATAAAGCTTAGTTACAAAGACCAAGAGAACAAAATAGAATGGAAAGATGGGGGCTTAGCCAATCCCTCTTTTATGTATTTGTCCCTTCTCCAAAATGAAATATTTTTCTCACCGTCACTCTAAAATACTTGATTTTTTTAGTGGTAGCTTTTTGTGGGCCTAGTTGATTTTTTTTTCTCCAAATTGCTCTATTTCTCTACTTTGATCTGCTCTTTAGCTAGATCCTAAGAAGCATGTATACAAACAAGCCGATTGGATACTTTTACAATGCAAATACATTTATATGATATACATAAAAATAATAAGAAGTCGGCAATCAGATTTACCAAAATAAACACAAATTGAAGAATTTGTACCCAATACTTATAAACAGTACTTAAAACTTGAAGAAGCACTAACAAGAAGATTTTATCACATACCAAGAAGCACTAAATAAATACATATAAAGAAAAAGGAAAAGATTTTATCACAATTTCTTCAACGTATGATCAATTTCACACGAGAGAGTATTCATGAACTCGAATCCAGGCAAGAGGCTACAAGTAAAAATTATACAAAATAACGTAAAAGGAAAAGAAAAAGAAAAAATATTTTTTTGATTAGAATGAACATTTCACAACAAAATAAGAATTCTAATTATAAGTAACTATTTTTATGGGCTGTATGCTCTCCTTGAACTCATAAAGTGTGGTAGTTCACAACTGAGATGAATCAACTGCTGAGGATACATACTATGCTTGTACAATCAAAATCATACAAACATATGTGCACTGAAGACACATATTAACAAGGCCCTAAAACATAATATGAACTAATACCTTCTTGAGAATTATGTCAAGAAGTTCTGCCCCTGCTTTTGAATCAAATACCTTAGCTTGATGGCTACTATTCCAAGAAAAAAAGAAACTTGAATTCATCTAAACTAGCAATTTACAACATGAAAAGTCAAGCCATGAATAATAAATGTGAAAAAGAAAACCATATTACATATCCAGGTAAAGGAGTAATCTGGAAGCAACAGGGGGAATTGTGTTGCAATTACAATAGTTGTTACCCCAGATGAGAAATAAAAACCTTTTTTTTTAGCTTTTAGGGTGTATTTTTAGTTCAAGATACGTCCTACTACTTGGAACCAAAGAATTAGTAGATCTATTCTGGTCAAATTGGGACTGAGCAAGGGTTTTGAACTTAAAATCTATGATCTGATCATTGAGTCAATTCCATGATTATAATTTCATTGCAGCAAGTGATTGAGTTCAGTAGTTCCCCATATATATTTTGTCAACTCTAGAACATAGTAATATGTAGAAAACAAATTGTTTCAAGAGCCAGCAGATATACCGAGAAGAAGTGAGGGACAAAACCTACCATAAAGCCACCTGTCTCTGTTTGCCACCAAGTGTCAGATATGGGGCATCTTGAATCTCCAACTATATTGAAAAACCACCTGTTAAGATGAAAAAGAAAACATGTCATACTTCTTGTGTTCAAAAAATGTAATCCAGCAACAAGAGTAGAGCTTGTAACCTCCATGCACTGGGATTTATAGGCTCGCCTACACTACCGAGTACTCGTAAGGATTTTCGTGAATAGCGGGTGACATACTGCATGGTAAACAACACTTGAAATCAGTATACCATATATCTTGCCATTAAAAAACTCCTCTCCCCCCAAAATATGTAGAGAATACCATAGTTTGCAAGAAGTGAATGATACGAATTGTTCTCTCTAATTAGAGGATATGAGGTGAAGAATATGTACACGAAACAAACTTGGCCCACTGGTTTGTGCAGAGATTATTTACTACAATGGTGTACTTACAGTTAGGATATATGTATTTTGTGTATTGTATTTATATTTGAGGGTAGTTTAGTGTTTTGGCTTCACTTTTAATAGGGTTAAGTTCTTGTATTATATATGGAAGATTAAGCAATAATAGGCTAGCAATACTAGATATACACATTAAAGGGCAACACAAAAGCAAAAAAGATACTAAAAACCCATGGACTTGATGGCAGAACCTAAAAGGTTAGAAAGTAGAAGTATTTATTTGATGATACTCATAACATGGAGTTTGGAAGGTGATATTAATAACATGTGGAATACAATGACCGAATGCATTAATAGAGCTCTTCTCCTCTCTTTTTTGCATGTTTAATCTTTGTTAACAATTACAAATTTATGCAAGAACGTCTTCACACTTGGCCAAGACACAGAAAACTAATGAAATAAATCAAATGAGTAATCAACTCCAAATAGTACTATTGCAAAATATAATCTTAACTAGCTTGTCATTTGAATGTATTTAAATTACACATGCATGTAAGGTTAGAGAATTTTTTTACCTCATCTCCATCACGCATCAGAGAGCGCACCAGTGTAGGGGCAGTATAAAATATTGTCACCTTGTATTTGTCAACAATGTCCCAACATCGTCCAGAATCTGGATAATTTGGAGCCTGCAGGAAATATACAGATTACAGATATTTGCCAAAAGGATGCAGGATCACATTAACAACTACACTTTCAATCAAATGGCATTACTGAATATTCAAAGGTAAATGTAATGCAGTGTACTCTACTGATAAATTTCTTGCGACTAATATCCTTAATGTCACAGGAAGCACCATCTATTCAAATCTATCCCATAAACTTATTCTCCCGACAGGACATAAAGAAATGAAATAAAGGAATACATTTCATGGTAATAGGGTATAGATTGCCTTTTCATTACATAGTCTCATTTATGTTTCTACTTTTTGGTTGAGAACATTATAGTTTTATCAAATTAAATTATATGCGCACACAGTTACTTAAAATTCATAAATTTTAAACTCCGTCTCTGTTGAGTTTTCACTCATTCCACTGATTCACTCCTTCATATATTTGCTCCACCAATTGATAGAGACATAATTCATATGAAACTATGGTTAGAGGGTGCTCAGGCTAAGTTCACATCTATATCTAATTCCATCCTTTCCACATAGGTTACAGTTCCAGTATTGGCGGGATCAAGATCTAGGAGTTACTTTTAGCACGAATAATGATTCAGTGAACTTCAAGGCAAAAAAGGGCTGATTTATTTTAATTAAAGTTTCTAGTAGTTTGTATTAAGTCTATGATTAGGTTAGTGTCTATGGACATTATTTCTAATGCACATGAGTTTTAGTTAGGGGCTAAGTAATTGCCATATTAGGGTTACTCGAGGGTAAAGTTACTTGGTTGTGAATTAGTAATTAAGAAATGTTGACCAAGTTTGTAACTATTCATATGCACATGTAATGGAGACTTCTAAAGAAGATTTCAGTGAATAAAATTCAAATTTGGGTTTTCTTTTACTCTTTTTTTCTTGTTCTGAGGCTTGGTTTTAGACCCATAGCTCATGGTATTCAAGCCATTTTTGCTAAAAATTAAAATCTATTTTAGAATCAGATTTTGCAACTTCCACCATTGATCCAAGTGTTTATTCAGGCCTGCTATTAATTGTAGCCATTGGATTCCCCAGTCGGCTACTTCACGTGTCAAAAATTTATTTCTAATGCCCCCTACATAATAAACAAATGAGCTGGGGTCCTCTCCAGAATGCAATTATCCAAGTAATCAATTACCCCTTCAAATACTACAACTGTTGCTCCATTAAGCAGAGGCCCATAAGTAACGTAGCTGTGCCCAGTAATCCAACCACAGTCAGCTGTACACCTAAAAGAAAGAAAGGAAATGTCAGTCCTGCAAATTCCAATAGGTTTTATCTAATCACCAAAGATGAAAATTCATTAACGTTGACACTGAAATTTTCAAGAGTACCAGTATATGTCTGATGGCTTGTAGTCAAATGCATACTTGAATGTTGTTGCAGTGTATATCATGTATCCCCCAGTTGTATGCAGAACACCCTTTTTGTTGATGAAAATATCATATTACAATAACAGAAACAAAAAGAAAACGTTCATTATTCAAGGGAACTTAGATACCTTAGGCTTTCCAGTGCTGCCACTAGTATACAGGAGAAAAAGTGAATCCTCTGCATCAACCCACTCAACAGCACATGTAGTTGGGTACTTAGGAACAACATCCTGAAAGTTGGAACGCCAAAAAATATAGAAGTCAAACAAACTCTTTACAATGAAAAGATAATCGTCAGCTTGCAATGAGACAATTATATAAGGGGAGAGCCCTACCAGACAAGCTTATTACACAAAAATTACAAGGTGTCACAGATTCGGAGAAAAGAATAGGACTGCAATGACTACATGGGCAAATTAAAGGTAAAGAAGAATTGTCATTGCTCAAAAATAAATGTCAAAAGAACCTAAGTGATGATTTGAAGGGGAAACTAATGTACGCAAAGATGCCTGATTGTGACCACAGTTGCAACATGCTGTCAAAGACTTCCATTTAAGGTGGAACTATAAAGTTAAACAGCATTGACACAAAATTGGCTTTTAAACACCGATATTTTTTTTATTTTTTTTTTAAATTAAGCATAATGATGTTTTGAAACTTATTTTCCAAACTAAGTGAAAGTGTGTGGTACTTAGGAACAACAACATCCTGAAAGATGGAACGCCAAAAAATATAGAAGTCAAACAAACTCTTTACAATGAAAAGATAATCATCAGCTTGCAATGAGACAATTATACAAGGGGAGAGCCCTACCAGACAAGCTTATTACACAAACATTACAAGGTGTCACAGATTCGGAGAAAAGAATAGGACTGCAATGACTACATGTGCAAATTAAAGGTAAAAAGAATTGTCATTGCTCAAAAATAAATGTCAAAAGAACCTAAGTGATGATTTGAAGGGGAAACTAATGCACGCAAAGATGCCTGATTGTGACCACAGTTGCAACATGCTGTCAAAGACTTCCATTTAAGGTGGAACTATAAAGTCAAACTGCATTGACACAAAATTGGCTTTTAAACACAGATTTTTTTTTTTTAAAATAATAATAATAATAAATAAATAAAAATTAAGCATAATGGTGTTTTGAAACTTATTTTCCAAACTAAGTGAAAGCGTGTTGTGGCTAAACATGGTTTTTGATTTTGAAGTAGAAGTCTACTAATATTTGAGGACAAGACAACAGCATGGTTGCTAACCATGCTATTTATTAAAGAGTAATTCTATACAAACAAAAAATCATAAATAATGATGTGACTCATTGTGGACCTTTCACTTCAAAATAAAATACCATTGAAGATAGATTTATTTACAATAATGGCATTGCCATGTCATTCTTGTCAAATTTTTTGTATGAATTTTATGAATGTTTAAAATTTTTCTTTACTAAAAGCGTGATAGGCAACCACGCTTTCACTAGACTTTGAATATAAACAAAAAAACTAAGAAATCACATTTTTAAAAATGTTTTTTACTAACTACGTTTCCATGTTAGTTTGCGAAATAAGTTTCAAGACAACCTTCTTATTTAAATAAGTTTTATAACAAAATGCAATTTTGCTAAGAAGCCCATAAAATGCATTTCTAAAGGTTGTGAAAGGATCAAAATGCCAAAAATGTATATCGATACAAGTAAGCCAAGTTCTGTGCCTACAATGTCTACATAGTAACATACAACTAACAATTATATTGAGTCACGCCCCATTATTAAAAAATAAAATAAAAATAAAAAGGAGCAAAAGTAAAAAGGTCTGCAAAATTAACTCCAACCTCAAAATTGCAATTACCTTTCATGATGGACAGAATTTGGGGAGGGTCTCTTAGTCAGAAAAGAAAATGAGGGATAGAATTTGGGGAGGGTCACTTAGTCAGAGAAGAACTTTTTTCAAGCATTATTCAAATATACTAACAGCATAAAGGCAACATGGTCTACCAACCTGCCACCAGATATCTCTTCCGTCATGCCATTTGGTAGCTTCCCTCTTCATGGCTGATTGATTTTCATAGATCAAGCATGCATCTGCTAGGAGAAGGAACAAAAATTCCATGCAAATATGAAACAAGAAGAAGAAGAAGAAAAAGAAGAAATCCGTGGAAAAAACAGGCCTGGAAGGCGTTGGTCTAAAACATGTATTTAGATATGAATATATAGTTAAAGTTTTATTCCTCTTAACTTGAAACATAATTCTCACATTACAAATAAGCATGTCCTAATCGAAAATTGCAAATTTATTTATTTACTTTTAATAACTAAAAGGAAAACAGTTTAAAAAATGCAAATGCTAGATTATTGTACTTAAGCCATGAAAAAGTGAAAGTTTCTCACCTACAGAGATTCCATTTTGGGTTGATTCTATGAAGGCAGCATCAACTATATCTTTGAGATAGATGACCTTCGGCCCCCTCCTAACAGCATTGCAAGTTATCACAACCTTTGGTTTGCAATCTATGATCCTTTGGGCAAGAGACTCTGCAGAGAATCCGGCAAAAACAACCTGAATGAACAGAACATCTTGAAGTCATTTATCCCTGAATGTTTTAGAGAATGCAAGGGAAGGAAAAGGACAAGGAATATATTGTTATGCAATACCGAGTGCACAGCACCAATGCGAGCACAAGCTAGCATTGCGATCGGCAATTCCATAAGCATTGGTAAATAAATCACGACAGCATCACCCTTTCTAACACCAATATGTTTCAGGTAATTTGCAAGCTGTTGGCAAGACATGTGAGAACAATATTCCATGCATTTGATAAGGTATAATAAAAAATGTGTGCGCATTTGTGTGTGTGTTTGTGGTGTGGTGTGGGGGAAAGGAGGACGTAATTTAACCTGGCAAACTCTCTCCAGCAACTGCCTGTAAGTTAAACTGTCATCAAGATCAGTCTCATTTCCTTCCCAGTAAAAGGCAATTTTGTCACCCATTCCGGATTCTACATTCCTGTCTAAGCAGTTGTAGCAAATGTTGGTGATACCACCCTTGAACCACTGCTCGGAAACACAGACATACATATACATTGGGAAGTGAGAATAAGAAGCCAATTTTGGACTAGCTCAACAGATTTTTAAAGCAATAAATAGCACAAGGAAAGAAAGAAAGAAAGAAAGAAAGAAAGAAAGAAATGGGGGGAGCACACAACAAACCAAAAGAAGATGAAAGCTATTTTTGTTTTTTATAAAGATATTTCCTAATTTATGTGTGGGTGGGGTGGGTGGAGGAAGAGAGAGCAATTGGGATGTAAAAAGACCTCGATCTTGATGTTCCCTTTTCTGATATCGAGATTCTCCGAGTAGATCTCTTGGCCCCATTGCTGTTTCCAGTAGAACTCCGATGCAATATCCGACCAAAACCCAGCAGGGTCCTCAATTGACCTTGTATACATCTCTAAATACTGAGATCAGAGACAGAAGAACACGCAACAAAGAACATGATGCACCAGAAAATTACAAAAAAAATAATAATAATAAAAAAAAAATAAAAAATAAAAAAAGAAAGAGAGAGAGATAGATAGAGATGAGCAAAAGGCAAAAGCAATAAGTAAATAAGACAAAATCCGTTATCTTCAGATGGGGATGGGGGAGGAAGAAAGTGAAAGACCTTCTGGGGAGAGGGGATGAGAGCCTGGGTGGAGAAGTGATCGCTGGGGAAGACGAGATCATCATCCTCGGAGGCAAGTGCCTCTCCAAGTATGACAGCATTCAATCTGGGTATCTTCCCTGCTCCCGAAGGCATACTCGCTATCGAATCCATATGTCGAAGCTGCTGATCCGCTATCCTCCTAGTTTTCTTTAGAGGACTAGCAGCAGTATTGCTATTGCTATTGCTATTAGAATATGAAGAAGATCCATCCACTGTATCATGATGTGGAGCCTCCATCATCAACCTCAATCTCAACCTCCTCCTCCTCCTCCTCCTCCTCCTCAACACCACCACTCCCCCAGTACTACTACTTGTGAATCCTGATCCGAACCCCAACCCCAACCCCCAAAATTAACTCTTTCTATTCCTGCATACAACGGAAGACAACGATAATGTCGAGGAGATACCAAGACACGGCCTCACTACGTTGACCCACGATTGGCTCGTCGTGACAACAGCAGACGACTTATTATTATTAACCAATATCTGAATCGGAAGGGAGCCTGCCTCGTGGGGAAGACTACTACTTCTATTTCTGATTTTATACCATGAACCGAGGGCCATCCTTTCTTGACTTCTTTATTAATTCTTTTTTACTTTCTTTTTTTCTTTTTTTTCTGATTTTCTTTTTATATTTATGCTGCTGCAGAGCAAAACAACAACAACTGCTCCTCCTCCTCCCAAACAAATAACTAGAACTACTACTGTATCTGTGCGTATATCTGTGAGTTGTTCTGATTTGTGTGTGTTTGTGAGAGAAACATAAATAGAGGGAGAGATTTTATTTATATATATCTATATATATATATCAGCAGCAGCAGCAGCAGCTAATCCTGCAATCCCAATCGCCCGTCCCAAATACTTCTGTGGACTATATTATTTTAAAATGTCCCAAAATAATAGTTACATTTAAAAAATTAAGGGTAAATTACACTGACACCCCTAAAATTTATGTTTATTACAATTCTTTCATATTTGGATTTGGGAAATTACACTGACTCTCCTTGTCAATGAAATTATTTAACGGTGTTAACTTTTAAGTTAAAATGACATATTTATCCTTAACCTTTACATATGCTTTAAAGGATAAATTACATTGACACCCCTTGAGGTTTTAATTTAATACGGATCCCTCCTGACATATTTTAAAAAAAATTCAATTTAATAAAAATAAATATGAAGAAATATATTTAATTTGTAAGAAAATATTTCTAACCACTCGAAAGATAAAAATTATATAAAAATGATAATTATTTTTTATTTTTTATTTCTTAATCAAATTAATTTTTAATTTTTTTTAAAAAAATTCTAAAAATCAAACCATACATAGCCTAAGAATCTTTTGATAAGTCATTTCTTGCGTTGGTAACTTATTTAATTATTTGTTAATTTCACGATATTTTTACCATCAAGCTGGTTTGGTAACCATTTCGTTTTCAGTTTTCAATTTATATTTACAAAAATTTTAAAAACTTAAATTATTTGTTAATTTTACGACATTTTTACCATCTGAAACCTGTTTGGTAATCATTTCGTTTTCAGTTTTCAATTTATATTTACAAAAAATTTAAAAACTGTCATAAAAACTTGTTTAATAATTTTTTTGGCTTATAAATAATTGTCTCAGTTTGTAAATTTGAGAAAAAAAATATAAATTCAAAAAATGAGTTTACGTTAGTTTTTAAACAGAAATTTAAAAATTTGACTAACAAAAATTTTCAATTAAATTTTTTTTCAACTAATATTAACCAAGGGGACAATTGGTAATGCTACTTTAAACCTTGGGGAGAGAATTACAATTTCTAAAAGGTAAGAAGGAAAATTGTAATAAGCACAAATCTCAAGGGTGTCAATATAATTTACTCAAAAATTAAAATAAAAAAAATATTTAATTTTTCAAAATTACTTTTTTAGAGTAATTATAAATATATTAAAATTTTGAAAAGACAAGAATAAAAAATTATTTTAAAATTTAAATTTAAATTTAAATGTAATGATTATACATCCTCTAAAAAGTTAGGATTCTAAAAAAATCAACAAATTAGAACAAAAAGAGTATTTGCCTTTGATTTGTCTTTAATAAAAAACAATAAATTAGAACAGAAGGAGTGTTTGCCTTTAATTTGTTTTTGATAAAAAATAAATAAATAACAACAAATTAAAATAGAAGGAGTATACGCCTTTGATTTGTCGTTGTCGTCGATTACATCGCCAGTTCAACTAATAATTACCCATCTATTTATCTAGTATCTATGTGCTTTTTACCATCCTTTTTCTCTTTCGTTATCAAGGTTTTTTATTTTTTTTGATTGAGAGTTACTGATAAATGATTACTCCAATTAACACCAAAAAATAATTACAAATTAGAGGAGAAATAAAAATATTTGCATTATAGGATGCAAAAAATTATGAAATTACAAAGAAACCCTTTTTATTCCTCTCTCCTCTCTTGCTTTTCCCATCAAAATCCTAACCATCACCGGCAAGCCCCTCCCCCACCCTCCTAACATCGACAATCCTTCTGAGTGTGATCTTTGAGGATTATTGTTGTAGTAACAGAAGAAACCAACTCTATATACATCTCAAATTGACGAATAGTTTAATAAGAAATACTATATTATAGGTGAGAGGGAGATTTATGATCTGGAGTTTGGCCGAGGTAACGGCCGAGCAGGTTGAGAGCCTAATGATGCATGGGGCCGACATGACCGGCGATCCGCCCGTTGACGGGCTGCCAGGAATTGGGCCGGGCAGGAGTAGGGCCAAACATGCGCCGACCAGACCGTAAAGAAGCTGCTCGGCAAGGCAGTGCTCGGTTAGACCGAGCTGCTTGATCAGGCAATGGCGGAGCCAGTCAAGCTGAGTGACCGGCACCCAGAAAGGCGTGGTTAGCCGAGGTAATCATTTGATCGGCAGGAAGGAGATTTATGATCTGGAGTTTGGCCGAGGTAACGGCCGAGCAGGTTGAGAGCCTAATGATGCATGGGGCCGAGATGACCAGCGATCCGCCCGTTGATGGGCTGCCAGGAATTGGGCCGGGCAGGAGTAGGGCCAAACATGCGCCGACCAGACCGTAAAGAAGCTGCTCGGCAAGGCAGTGCTCGGTTAGACCGAGCTGCTTGATCAGGCAATGGCGGAGCCAGTCAAGCTGAGTGACCGGCACCCAGAAAGGCGTGGTTAGCCGAGGTAATCATTTGATCGGCAGGAAGGCCGACCACAGGAGGTGCCCCGGGCTAAGCTTTGCCGAGATGCCGCCTAGCTCGGTCTTCCTTGGCCTTGGCCAGTGAAGTGCTTGGGTATTAAGCACAGCCCGGCTGTGGTTAGAGAAGCTCGGCTGCCGGGCTCCGGTTGAGAAGGCAGGCAGTTGAGATTAGGTGATGTTCAGCAAGGTTTATGCTGACAGATGGGATAGCAGAACCATGTGTCAGGAGTTGACTGGGAGTGGATATGGGGCGCAGAGGGTATATAAGTATGTCGGCGCCCCCCATATGGACGGATGAACACTTTGTAAGAAAACTCCTACACCCTAACACTCCTCTCTCTCTCTCTCTAACCTAAGGTGTGTGCTAACTTGATCGTCGGAGGGTTTCTCCGACCACACACCGCCGGGCAGCTCACCGTTATTTGCTCGCAGGTGATCGGACGTAAACGGAGCTTGGAAGAAAGGAGTACGGGCTTGCCGGAATATTTGCTCCCCGTATAATATCTCAGTCATTGTTTTATAATTTGAACAGATCTGAGCCATCCAAATGTCCTAATAGGACAAAAATATGTTGAAGATTTAAAAATCGTCTTGCTTTATTAAAATATGTTGAAGATTCATATGAGGTCTAAATTTACGAAATCTATCAAGTATTTAATATATTTAAAAACAATAATTAATTGTTCAAATTCATTAATATAATCTCCACTACACACAGTAAAATCTGGCTTCTAATTCTGGAATCGCTGACTTTTTCATATAATATGAATAAAAATATGTGAACAAAAAAGATAAAATAAAAATAAATAAATAAATAGAGAGAAAAATAAAAATAGGAGAAAATAAAGAAATAAAATGAAAAGAGAGAGGAATGTGGAATCATGGGATCATAGAAGAATGGGTGAGAAAAGGAAAAAGTAAGAGAGATAAGCGAGAAAATAGAAAATATACATATAGGATATTTTTTGAACGTTCAGGCGGACAGAGTCAGCGACGTACTCAGTCCATATCTATTACCAGAAGTTACCAGGTTGGTGATTCCGACGCGGGTGCAGAGAAGTCTAGCGCGCAAGACAGCACCTACAAACCCTCACGTCCGGAGACGACGTCGAGGTACTCTTACTCCGCTCATTCAGAGGATTTGCGGGCAGTCTTAAAGGAGCGGGCTCGCCGGCGCGAAGCTCAGAGAATACCGACGTTCCAGCGGTTATCCTATGGGGTTCACGCCAGCTAGGAGGTCGGAATGCCTCCACCCCGCCAAGCAGTGCCACTCTTTGAAGATACGGACTTGGCCAGGCTGAGCGCCACCCCTTTCTCCTTGGAAATAGAAACAACACCGCTTCCGGCAGGCTTCCACCAGCCTAAGTTCACACTCTACGACGGAAAAACCGATCCTTACATGCATGTGAGCCACTTCCGACAGGTTATGGCCGGACATAGGCGAAATGACGGACTTATGTGCCTAATCTTCCCGTCAAGTTTAGGCGAGCTGGGCTTAAAGTGGTTCGAGAGGTTGCCGAAAGGGAGCATACAAAGGTGGCATCAGTTGGCCGAGGCGTTTGTTACACGCTTTAAAACCAACACAAAAACATCGAAGGAAGTCGATCACTTGCTAAGTGTCAAGATGGAACCGTGCGACACACTGAAGGCGTACAACTCAAGGTACTGGGAAACCTTCAACGAGATCTTGGATTGCCCGGTCAACCTCGCAATCACGCAATATAAGCGTGGTCTCCTAGTTGGCCATAGATTGCGGGATTCGCTTACCATGCACCAACCGACCTCCATGGGCCAGCTCATGCAGCGCATCAATGAGCACATCCGAGTAGAGGATGACGCGTCAGCTTCTACCGTAAAGGCAATTCCAGTAGCAACAGACAAGAAGACAGCAGGCAAAGTGCACGCAGTTGGGCAAGAGTCCAGCCGCACAAATGAACGAGCAGAGGAATCAGACCGTGGCTCGAATCGCAAAAACCGGGGTAGAGGACGTCGGAACGACCGGGATGACTATGCCCGAGATGATGTGGCGGATGCTGACAGAAGATTGAAGGCAAGGACTAGCATCACCACGGTCTTCAAGATTCCAATTTATCGCATACTTAGCAAAATCCGAGACGAGGAGTATGTCCGACAGAAGGTTTATAATCCGCGGTATCGTTGCACATTCCACCGGGAGAGGGGCCACCGAACAGAGGATTGTTTCCTTTGCAGCAACACTTATAAGAGCTGGTCGCGGCTGGGCATCTAGATCCTTACATTGATGGCGGCATAAAGCCGAATTAGGCTCCGGTCGATCCCAGGGGACAGGATGACCGAGACGCACCACCACAGGGAATCATTAATGTCATCCACGGCATCGTAGAACCGGAGCGTGTTTGCGAACTCCGGGGCATGATAAAAATGGCAGAACATATGAGGGAAGTTTTGTCGGTACAGCCTGCCATCAAAAGGGGGAAAACTGAAGAAAAAGACGTGATTAGTTTCACCTCAATGGATCTAGAGCGTATCCAGACGCCGCACAACGATGCCCTAGTAGTAACACTACGCGTCAAAGAATTCGATGTTAGACG